GAGCGGGGGGCGGGACCAGCTGCGCGATCAGCGGTCATCTTAAGTCCGGGCAGCCGTGAGCCCCGCCGCGACCCCATTTCCGTTAGAAGCGCGGCGTACAGCGGGGCCTCAGGCGGGGAAAGGGACGGGGTTCGTATGCCTGCTGTGAGCGCTCTGCCCGAATCCAAAATGGCCGCCTGCAGCCTCCGTTGCCGTCAGGTGACCTGAACCTTTTGGCCGTCACGTGCTCCCCGTGGAGCCTTGTGCGAGTAGGCCACGTGGCTGAAGGGTTGTAGGTGGTGAGTTCAGGCGGTTGCGGAGGCAGGGTGGCTGCTAAGGCTCGGGAGCGGGGGAGGGGGAGGGGCAGGTGTGCAGCCTTCACTCCCGTGGGACCCCGTCACGCGCGGCGCCTCCAGGGGAGTCTCGAGGGGGCCGAGTGAGGATGCTGGGAATTAATGTTACGTGCCGTGTCCGCGCGGACAGTGGCGGTGGGGAGCTGTGCGAGCCCTGCCCGCAGCGCTGTGCGGCGGACGGAGCGGGGCTGCCCAGCCAGCCCGGCTCCCACAGCGAGAGGCAGGGTGATGTTTTCAGTAGTGCGTGGGAGAGAGCGGCTTCCGTATCGCCGTCGCTAAGCCCTGCCTGGTTATAACGTGCAGGTGCAGCCGGGGGCCCATCTAGACTTGTCTCCGCGGAGGGTGCGCGGAATCTAAGCTCCAGGCTGTGCAAAAAAACCCGGGCAAAAAATGACAAAAGTTTTGTGTTTTGACAACAGTCACATAAATATTCACTTCTCATAATATTTGCTAGTACGACTATAAACCGTATACTTGTAAGCGTTATCTTCCCCAACCATCCATTTCTGTCAAAAACCCTTCCCTTAAAGGAAAGCTCTATTGATTGACTCTGAGGCCTGAAAAGCATCTCCAAGAAATCTGATGCATTAAAGACAAAAATAAATGTTCACATATCCGTGCTTGTTAAAGTATCCTTCAGTATTTTGTTATTTGTATTAGAAGAAAATGTTTTCTCTTGAGCTTAGGATTGCAGTCCCATATTACAGTTTTCTGTCTTTGCCCCAAACTCAAAACCTAGAAAGACTGTTGCACTGTGTGCACTCCATCACTTCATTTTGTAGCAAACACAACCCCTCCCTGGTGGTTGAGGGAGCCTGGGATAGGCTTTTCTGACTTTAAATATACTTTTAAGGCCACCTTCAAAGCAGCTGATACAGCTCAAGAAAAGAAACAAAATTGTGACACATCCCAAAGATACAGAGCTTTGGAGTATTTTAATTCTGAATGCACTTAATTAAGTGAAAAAGAAAAAAAAATGTAAAAAATGTAATGTTGCAAAATCAATCCTCAAAAGTGTAAGTTGTACTAACAATCCTAACTCAGCTCACTTGGTATGTAGTTCTTAAATACGTGATCACTTACTGTTTTTTCCTACAGGGTCTCCAAATTCAGTGCATTTTGGCAGTGCTTTGAGTGAAAATCAAGGTTGTATACTGGTGAATGAAGGTCTGTAAGACCGCTGATTCATTTGTTATAGAAGTTGTAATGTGTGAAGTGAATGAGGCAGGGAACTGCAGGAAGAGAAAAGATGGTCTTATGATTAAAACAATTGAATGGGAGGAGCCCGAGATAATTTGATTCTGTTTCTGCCTCTGCCATATACAGGCAGTCCCCGACTTACGTGGATCTGACTTACGTCGGATCCGCAGTTACGAACGGGGCTGCCCCGGAGTACACGGACTGCGGGACCTCGCGGTCCTGCCGCCCGTGTACTCTGGGGCTTTCTCTGCGTCTCCCTGGTCTGCGGGACCAACCGGCAGCACCCCAGCTGCTCTGCCCCAGGCGTCCTGATTTAGCCGCTGCTGA